CCTGGCCATCACGATGATGAAGAAGAAGAAGTTTAAGTTTAAGGTGGACTTCGAGCTCGACGAGCTCTCCTCGGTGCCCTTCGTCAACGGGGTCCTCTTCTGCAAGATGCGGCTGCTGGACGGCGGCAGCTTCACCGCGGAGTCCTCCAGGTAACCCGGGGCTCGCCCGCGCCCTCCCGCCGGCAGGGGCTTGTTGCACCGCCAGCATCCCTCTCCTTGCTTGGCCCCTTTGCTCTGCCGAGCTGCCAGCCCTGTGAGCTCATCGTCCTCCGGGGACGAGTCTGAAATCGGTCAGGGGCATCGAACGAGCCGCACCAAGTGGTTCGCAGTGGGTTGGTCTGGTTGGCGCTCCCGACTCCAGGTGGCCCCTGGTGTCTGCTCTCCTCCCAGTTCTCCAGGAATGGGAGTGATGATGGAGACCATGGGAGGGAGGATGCTTCTGGTTTCTCTGAAGACATTCCCATGTTTGCAAAATACAAACCAGGACTTGAAGCTTTGAGCAGCAAAAATGACCCAAACGGTTCCCCTTCCAAGAGCACCCACTCGGAACCGTCTGCGGTTGACATTAATTCCTGTGACTCTACTGTGACTTTGGGTGGCCAGGCCAGCATAGGGCTTGGGATACGCCTGGTCGGGCTTGACTTGAGTCAAGGGTTCCTGGCAGACAAGGCTGTAGTCTTTGGCTCGCCTAAGAGCTTCGTCTCCGTTTGATGCGCTGATCTTCTCAATGACCCATCTTCTAGTGGCCGCCGGTGCGTTTCAGAGCGAAGGACTTGGAACTAAGAGAGCCCAGACCCTGTCCTCATTTTGAAATGAGCCCCTAGGCACTGTGGGAGAATCCTTCAGCGGTGACAGAATGCAGCCATGTGGGGCAGGATTCCTTGAGTAATTTAAAGGCAGTTTACAGAGTGATAGGTTTATCCTTAGGTATTTTTCTCTACAAGAAGACAGAAAACTGGAAGGAGTTTTGGAATGAACTTTTAAGTTCTTAAAGTCAAGGAGAAGGGCTAATAGTCCATGTCTATATTCCATCTGTATATACTTAATTTTTACACTGAAACGATTCCTTTTATCTGCTGTCCCATTAATAATCTAAAGGAAATAATGTCAATGGGTTGTGGGATGGAAACCAGAAAATTTCCCTCTGTGGCAATAATGAAACCTATGGAAGCCAGAAAACGCCTCATTGCCTAATGAACAGATGTGTGAAATGCTATTACAAAAATTACCAAACAAAAATCCACTAAGGTTAATTTTTAATATTCAACTGTGATGACAAACCTGTAGGCATTCAGCTGCATGATTATATCACAACCATTTTTACACTCCTGTCAGAGAGCTGTACAAAAGCAATATATATAGTACCAGCTCTTGGGGTGCAAAAGCCTAGGCCAATCCTGAACGTCATGTCGGGGTCAAGTGACAGCCTCACCCTGAGGCCCAGACCAAGTTTTCGTGCAGGGTTCTTATCCCCCCTCCCCCAACGTGGAGCAGTAAACTTGGGCTTCTGGCCCAGTGCTGACACCTGGTGGTCAGAACCCGGGCCTACACCTTCTTTCTCTTCTGCCTCCTTCTCTGCCTGGAGTGTTTGTTGATTTGGCTTGCTTTTTCTCCCAAGCCAGTTAGTCATCAAAAACAGACTTTTTTTTTTTCTCTCTTTTTCCTGGTAAACTAGTCCACTGGGTCTTTTAAACACACTTTCTTGTTTACTCCCCTAAGTGGGGCTGTGAGGTGGAGGTTCTTATTTTGCCAGTCAATGGATCTAATCTTGGGAAACCTACCTTCCAGAGACTCCTCCCCTCCTATCTGGTCACGAAATGCCAAGATTCTGGTCCAGGTCTAGCTTCAAACAGAACGATGCCAGCCAGACAAAGGGAAAAGCTGTGTGCTGCTGAAGTTTCTGAAGGCAGCTTCTAGTCGTTTCAGATGTGAGGTGGATTTATCCTCAGCTGGAAAAAACAAAAATTTTAAAAAAAGAAAAGCCAAGTAGCCTGGTGTTAAACAAACCCTTCCTCCAGTTAAAATCTGGCATTATCAAGAGAAATAGCGTTAATAGTGCTCTAACTAAAAAAAAAAAAAAAAAAAAAAAAAAAAAAAAAAAAAAAAAAAAAAAAAAAAAAAGTGTAGTCTGACGAGAAGGCTTGTGATCAGGAACAGGTGCTTTTGAAGCTGTGCAGCGAGGTAGTGTGTAAAGCTGAGAGCCAAGGGCTTGGAATGAGGTGGGTCCAAGTAGATCTCAGTTCTGCTGTGGTAACACTTCCTGGGCTTACTTAGGTGGGCGCAGCTAAAATCTGAAAAACTGAAATAGTCAGTGATTTGGGATTGTCTTGAGGGTTTCATAGGACATTGCCCCTGAAACGCTGCGGTACGTTGGCGTTCAGTGATGAAGAAGTTCTGTTTCCTTAGACGTTCTCCCAGTTCCTTTATCCTAACTACCAACGCGTTGGCTTGAGCCAACTACAGTGGTACAGACCTCAGTCCCAGAACTTGAGATAGAAGCAGAAGGAGGCTAACCTGGACTACATGAGACAGCCTTAAAACACACATGCACACATAAGCTTGAGTGTGCACACTGATAGACATGCACTTGCGCGCACGTGCGCGCACACACACACACACACACACACACACACACACACTCACTCACCAATTTTAAAAAAGGTACCTTCCTTCACAAGGAGAAATAGAAAACCTGAAATGTCAGAATTATGTAGCACCTAATAGCACATGCCAGTGTAGACAACACACCTCTAAATGTTGTATTTTAATTTAAAAAATTATTCTAGAGGACCTTTATGAAGCAGAAATGATTGGCACTAACATTTCTCCCATAGCACTGAAATGACTTCTGTGTAGAAGAGTTAAAGCAGGCTCAAGACCGCCACCTTGAAAGGCCTGCTGACAAGACTGCCTTTGATTAGTGTCGTGGTCTCCTTGCCTGGATGAGGAGCAGGGCTTACTGTGCTCAGACTGTTGGTACGAACCACGTGGTTCACGCTAAATGCCTCTGAGAGCCTGGAGTTTTAGTCCCACTAAGCAGAGGGCAGTTGCCTAAACCACCAGTGCTCATTCCACCCAATGAGCTTCCCTGTCGGACGGCACATCACCACAGTCTGATGCTAGAGAGGCTGTGAGCTGATTCTGCGGTGCACCCAGGAACTATGACGTCTTCAGCAAGGACTACAGATGGATGCTGAGTCCAATGCATTCTAAGGAATTCCCAACCCCTAAGCATGGTCCAATAATATCTGTACTGTCAGAAAAGAGTCTTGGTGGACTCGAAGAAGTTACACAGCAAACACACACACACACACACACACACACACACACACACACACACACACACAGCTTGGCTTTGTTCAAAAACCTAAACGTGCAGATGACTCATTGCTCCCCAAATATCACTTAAGCACTTAGCAGATTTCTAGCTCTCTGTCTAGGGATGTGAGAAGCAAAGCAAATACAAGGATCCATGAGGGAATTGCCTCTAATTAACGAAATTAGATCATAGATGTTTGCTTGCTGGACAGTAGGAGACATATGGCTTACTGCTTAATCAATGGCTCAGCCGCTATGTGCGTTTCAGAAAGAAAAGGGCTTTTATTTACCGCTGTGATGTTTGCTGGAGTCTGCATTAGTGGTCCAGCTGAACATGCCAGGAGGGTGAATTTGCACTGAGGAGAGAGTGAGGTGGGAGGACAGCTTGAGCAAGCCCATTAATAGAGTTGGTGCTACCTCAGCCTGATAGCAGAGCTCACATGAACAGAAGCAGAAGGCAATATTAGAATGGGGCTTTGAGTGACATCCTAGGGTTTGATTTCCCTGCTCGAAGGATAGAATTCAGTCCAGGATTCTTGCACTGCGTTGTAATGTGATTAAAGTGGAATTTAAGCTGGCCAGCAGCCTGCTGCTGTTTGGATTCAAGTGCCGATAGATAGAGACAGGGGGACAATGAGAGGTTGTGAAAATAACCTGGGTCTAGTGAGACCCTGGACGCAGGCTTTTCATGTCAGTAACGGATAGGTGGTGGGTGATGCAGTGGCCGATGCCTTGCGCCATTGACAGAAGGAAATTGAAGAAATGCCCTTTTGGTTTGGGGGGGGGGGGACATTGTGCATGGCTATAGAGCAGCGGTTCTCAACCTGTGGGTCTTGACCCCCCACAGGGCTCACATATCAGATATCCTGAATATCAGATATTTACATTTATGATTCATGACAGTAGCAAAATTACAGTTACAAAGTGGCAATGAAATAATTTTATGGTTGGGGGTCCCCACCACATGAGGAACTGTATTCAAGGGTGGCAGCATTAGGAAGGTTGGGAACCACTGCTATAGAAGATATGAAGAGTTAAGTTGTGTGCTTAGTGTAGAACATCTAAGATGAAGTGGGCCTCACAATTGATCAAAGACAGAGTTATTTTGGTATGTGGCTTTCTTATATTCTTGGGGCTGTACAAGCCTGTTGATATTCCCATAGAATTTCCATACACTGTTTTGTCCATTTATAGATGATTAGTGAAAATGAATTTTTGAAAGACCTAGATTCTCCTGTGAAGGTTTAATCAGTAAAAAGTTAAGAAGAACATGAAGGTCTTCATCTTGAATAAGTGATACTAAAATGATTAGGGCAAGTGATTAGATCTCACCACAGTTAGCAAAGCATTTGAAAATATAATGCACTGTTACAGCGGTCCACTCAACTGAAGCCAAGTAGCTGCCTAATAAATTGTTTTTGAAGACATTCCACAAAAACAGAACATTGTATTATTTGAATCTTTCCAGAACACTCCTTAGTAAAGCACGTAAATCACTTTTAAAACTTATTGGGGTTGTAAGGACATGTTTAATTCTGGTCTTTTTAACCAAAGGAATGATGGGAAGGAAATTTCTCTACATACCTATGATTTCTCAGTTTGCCTTGTCTTCATATGTGTGCATGTGTGTTGTGTGTGTTTGTGTTGGTAACTAAGTAAGTTTCCAAGTTTCACATGAGCTTGTGGAAAAACCCCATGTGAACTCGGGGAGTGTCCGGGAAGCTAGTGAGCACATCTGTGTATTGGATCTCTGACTTTGTAAACAAGCTAAAGGGATTTCTTTTTTCTTTTTGCCAGAGAACATCTTTGTTTTCAAGGTTTTAATTCACTGC